TTGTACTAACTTTGTTATACATATGGAGTAACTCTACTGTGTCTGGCGAAACTTAGTAGGAAATCTGTAGTATCTATGGAGTAACTATATAGTAACTCTGTATAAGCCATGGAGTAATTCTGCAATAAATGTGGAATACGTCTACAGTATTTTCGGGGTAACTGTAATATCTACAGAGTAATTCTGTAGTATCTATATAGAAATACAGTAGTACCTATTGATTTATTCTTTCATATCCATGGAGTAACATTGTAATGATTCTGTCACATCAATGGAGGAACTCTGTGTTATGTGTGAGGCAACACCGTTGTAACTGTAATGTCTATGAAATAAATATATACTAACCCTGTAGGATACATGGAATAATTCTTTTGTATCTGTGAAGCAATTCTTTAGTAAATAAGTAGTATCTCGAGGAAAAACTGTGTAATTACTGTAAAGTATCTATTTAGTAAATTTATGAAGTCTGTTTAAGAACTTTGTAGCAAATCAGTATTATCTCCATAGTAACTTTGTTGTAACTCTGTAGTATCTATAGAATAATAACAAGGTAGTTATTTTGTCAGATCCATGTAATAACTCTGTAGTATCTATAGAGTAACTGTGTACTGTTTATTTATTCTATATGAGGTAACTCTAGATTATCTCTGGAGTATCTTGTGAATAATTACAGACTTTACATCAGTTGTGAAGGTTGGTGCATGAGAATTTCATCAAGAGAGTGGTGAGGGCTGAGAGAGGTTACCAAAGAACTGTCAATGTGTACCTATTTTTATGAAAATAAAAAATCCCTTCAAATGTAACTTTTCCTCTGTCCCATGTGCCAACTTCTAGCAAGGTTTCAAAGCCCCAGAAAGCAAAGCTGCTTCTTTTTCTATTTTTCCTTCTCCAATCTCCCTGCTTAAAAACGTAGGACACTCCATCCCACAACTGGCATTAAGAGAACATGAAGGCTGCACAATTAACAACTCACAATTCAGGAAAATGTTGCACTAACAGCCCTATCTCTGCCCCTATGAGTTAGATTTTCAAAGCCACCTAGGAATGTGGCTTCCTAGTTACCAGTATTTTTAATGAGATCAGGTCATCCATCTCCTTTAGATGCCTTTCATTATGCCACTCACAGATATGATATATCAGTGGTTTTTGGCCTGCAGTACACAGACCCCTCGCGGTCTGCAAATTATGTCTAAGATTTCCAGTGGGGTCTGTACCTCCATTTTAAATATTTTAGAGGTCCACAAATGAAAAAAGGTTGAAAACCACTATGATAGATACAGGATCAGATACTCAGCTGTATCAAACTTCCCAAGTTCCACTGAAATTATTCTTTCTATTTGAGTAACGAATAAATAAGCAACCAAAGATCAGAGCCCCCATTGTGTGAGGCGCTGCACAGACTCCATTTGAGATCATGTCCTATTGTACCAGGGGATGCACAGGCCCCAACCAAGATCAGGGCCTCCATTCTGCCGGGTGCTGCCTGTACCCAAACCAATATTGGGTTGTTCTTTGTGGTGGGCACTATGCGTGCATGGAGAGCGAATGGCATCAGCTTGCCTGGTGGCTACTACATCTGGGTGAATCATTGAGTTTTCAGATCTCTGGCAGTTTGGAAAAAGCAGACGGGGGAAGAAATTGCATCAACCTGAACCGAGTTGAGAAAATCCAGAAAAAATTAAGGGAAATAGAAAATTGTAGGTAGGGTAGATGGAAATATTTCATTCAACTCAAAATGAAAAGTGAAAGCCCCAGGTTCAAGTCCCCCGTCTTAATGGTGTGAAGAAGGATCAGGAAGTTGGGTCTCTTGCTTTATAGCAGCACAGCTACACCACTGGGCTATGGGATAAGCTGGTGTGGGAATGTCTCCTGTTGAAGCCATTGCGTTATGGATTAATAATTGGATTGGAAGGGACTGGGCCTTCTAATTCCCACCTTCAAGGCACGTACCTTGACAAATCAGGCTCTGGAGTGAGGCTGTTGCTGTTGCTTTCTTCCTTTAGCCCAAGGGCTTCATATCAAGTCAGTTCATTTCCACAGGAGCCACTGAAGGGCTTCCGTGCCAGAATATCCCAATAGCTTTTAATAGCAGAGACCCAAGTTCAAATCCTATCTTCCCATCAGCAAGGGGGGGACTTGAACTGTGGCTCCCACAACCCAAGTGTGTTAAGCTTTGGGCTAACAGATAAAAAGGAGACAACAGCCCTTCTCCCTCTGGGCATTTGGGTGAATTCATGGTAAATCCATGGATAGCTTTGGGTCACTGGAAACTGCATTTTTTGGCTCCAGTGTCTCCAGGACTTCAATTCAGGGATCCTGGGTTCTGTTCTCAGCTCAACTGGTGGTGGGGTCCAGTGGTTAGAACAGAATAATGGGGTGCGGTGAGTTAGAAAGGGCAGTTTGGGAGCCAGGACACCTGGGTTCTATCCTGTCTCTGGGAGGGGAGTGGGGTCTAGTGGGTTAAAGTGGTTGGGGCTGAGATCCAGAAATCCTGGGTTCCATCCCCAGCTCTAGGAGGGCATGGGGATCGAGTGGGTCAGAGCAGTGGGGTCTGGGAGCAGTGGCGGATTAGTCACTGGTTTGACTTGGCCCATCCTCAGTGGCCCCGGCCAACTGGGGGCCCCAGAAAAAATCCACTGGGTGGTGGAAGCCCAGAGCCCTGGTCACAGGATGGGGGAAGCCCCCACACCCGACCCCACTCCCCAGCAGCAGCACTGGGCAGGGCAGTTGAAGCAGGGAAACCCTAGTGTTCCAACCCCATTGTCAGCACAAGCCGAGGAGCAGGGGAAGTCCCAGCCTAGCATGCCCCAACCCTGTCCCCAGCAGAAGCCGGGAGGGGCAGGGGAAGCCCTCACTGCCCCGTCCCTGGCAGAAGCTACAGGGTGGCAGGGGAAGCCCCTGCACCCAACCCCACTCTCTGGCCTAAGAGCCTGGCAGGTGGGGCAGGAGACACCCCAGGGCCCTGACCCTGGTCCCCTACAGAAGCGCTGGGGGTGGTGGAGGAAGCCCCAACACCAGGACCCCTGCTGCGGCCCTGGGACTGGAGGAGCTCTCGCTATCGACCGCAGCCTCAGGGCTGGGGAAGTTCTCACTCCCTGCTGCAGCCCTGGGACCATGGCGGGAGGACAGAGCTTCTCTGGTCTTGAGGTTGCAGTGTGGGGGGGACAGAGAGGAGCAAACGGGTTGTGGGGCCACGGTGGGAGGACCCTGGGTGGAACAGGGTGGGGCCCCAGGGAAGGGGCAGAAAGATGTGGGGCCGTGGGTGGGGACACAGGAGGAAGGGGCGAAATGGGCACGGGACTATCACTGCAGGTGCATTTGCTCTGGCCCAGGACCCCAAAAACCTTAATCTGCCTCTGGCTGGGAGCCAGGACAGGTTGCATCCCCAGCCCTGAAAAGGGAGTGGGGTCTAGTAGTTAGAGCAGAGGAAGTGGGAGGCCAGGCATCAAGTTGTATTAAGCACTGGCAGTGTGACTTGGTTCATCTCCCTTTTCTCCCCTGTCCCCATGTTTCATTCCCAGTCCCCCCACAGAAGGGGATCCTGCAGCACCCCCTGCTGGGGGGACACTGTCTTGCTGGAGCCCCGCTGGCCTGTCCATTCCCCATCCCGCTCTTCCCACCCTTCCTGGCAGCTGAGATCCCTGCTCCCCCCGGAGTTGGTGAGTTTGCTCAGTGCTGAATTAAGCGAGCTGCAGCTGCACACACCGCCCCCCCACCCCCCGCCCCCCCGCAGTGGGGATTGGTGACGCCCATCCCAGCCAGCGGGGATATAGCCGGGGGCCGTGTGGCTGCAGGGGATGAAGATGGCACTCGGCTGAGCACCTCTCACTCTACCGAAGGCAACTCAGGGTGAGTCTCCACCACTCGCCCTCTGTCTCTTTTATTCCTCCTTTGCTCTCTCTCCATCTGGCATGGTGCCCTCCATTGCCACCTGCGGGTGCAACTTCCCTACTCCTGGCCTCCTGCCAGCCAGGCATGGGCTGGGGGTAGTGCCAGCCCGCAGGATCCTGACAGGCCTGTAGTTCCAGTGCAAAGATGTGCTGCCCGGGCATGGCTGGGCATGAATTCACCAGTGCCCCCTGCACGGCCCCTACCACAGCCTGGGATCCAGCTGCTTCTCCTTCCTCCTCCCCAAAACTCCCACACATCCGCATCCCAATGGCAGTGCCTCCTGCACCAGCCCCCTGCCCGCCGGCCATTACAGCACAGCTGCTCTGTGTCCCCCTGGCTCTGCTCCCACCTCACTCCCAACCCGCAGCCCCTGCTACTCCAGCCCTGGCCTCCCCCCACCCACAGCCCTGCTGATGCCTCAGTCCCAACCAGCAGCCCTCTGCCCACCTAGATTCGCACCTGGGCTGCTCTGCGGCTTTGCCGAGTCCTGTCAGGACCATGCATGGGCAGAGGGGCTGCATGGGGAGCCCTGTGCCCCATCAGTCGCATGGAGATGTTGTCCATCTCTGAGCCCTGATGTTATTCCGGTTCCTCTCTACCGGAGCATCAGGTGCAGCCAGGACACGGGGCCAGCTGAGGGGACATGATGGCAGAGAAGGAGCTGAGTGTGGGGGGGCACCGAAGTGGGGACCTGGCTAACTGCCACCTGACTCCCTCTGCTCGACACACCCCTCCACCCACTGGTACCCACGGTTGTGACCCCGGGTTCCCCTCCTCAACTCCGCTCATACTTTCCCCTCCTGACAAGCTGCCTCCGTTCAATGGCTGAGACGCTGCGGTCCAGATTTCCAAAGGTACTTAGGGGCATTCAGATGCATTGGGACTTTTCAGAAGCAGCTCAGGCACCGAACTCCCATTGGGCGCACCTGGATTAGGTGTCTAAATCCCTTTGGTGTTCTGGCCCCAAAATGAGACAGCAAGTCTGTGGCAGAATAGGGAGTTGAACCCACAACCTAGGCTAGTGGCCTCACTACAGGGCTACCCTTAGACTTGGGGGGCTGGTTACTGAGCAACATCTTTGCTTCCTGTGCATGTGTGTGTCCAGCACGATGGGACAAGCAAACTGGACAGTGGTGACTACATTCGTCCTCCTGGGCTTGTCCCCTGCCCATGAAGTCCAGCTCATCCTCTTCTTCCTCTTCCTGCTCTTCTACACCGTCATCCTCCCGGGCAACGTCCTCATCATCCTCACTGTCTGGGGTGACCCCCGCCTGGGCTCCCCCATGTACTTCCTGTTGGCCAACCTGGCCTTCCTGGACATATGCTACTGTTCTGTCACCCCCCCAAAGATGCTGGCTGACTTCTTCTCTCGCCGCAAGACCATCTCCTACATGGGCTGCATGGCCCAGATCTTCTTCCTCCACCTCCTGGGGGCGGCCGAAGCCTTCCTCCTTCTCACCATGGCTTATGACCGCTACGTGGCTGTCTGCCAGCCCCTGCGCTACACTAGCATGGTAAGCAGGGGGGTCTGCTGGGCCCTGGTGGGGGCATCTTGGGCAGGGGGCTTTATTCACGCCATCATCCTGGTAGGGTTGATTGCCCAGCTCCCATTCTGTGGCCCCAACGTTCTGGACAACTTCTTCTGCGATGTGCCCCAGGTGATCAAGCTGGCCTGCACCGACACTGCCCTGGTGGAGATCCTGACCTTCTCCAACAATGGGCTGGTCATACTGCTGTGCTTCCTTCTCCTCCTGGTCTCCTATTCCCTCCTCCTGCTCAAGCTCCGGGCATGCTCTCCCCGGGGCCAGAGCAAAGTGGCCTCCACCTGCATCACCCACATCATCGTCGTCTTTGTCATGTTTGTGCCGGCCATCTACATCTACTGCCTTCCCTTCCGCGCTGTCCCCATGGAGAAGGTGGTAGCCGTGCTGCACACCGTGGTCTTCCCCCTCACCAACCCCATGATCTACACCCTCAGGAACAAGGAGGTGAAGTCGGCCATGAGGAGGATGGTTGGCAGATATGGGTCTTGGGGAAGGGAACTGAGCAAGTAATCATAGAAAATTGCAGACTTTGGGAATGTTTTTCGTACATGCATGGCCAGGGTCTTATTTCAGTTACAGCTGAGCATATTTGTACTATCTAAGGAGTAAATCTGTAGTAGTGATAAAGTTATCGTGGAGTAAATCACTAGTATCTATGGACTAACTGTCTAATAATTTTGTTCAAACTATTGAGTCATTCTGAAGAACCTCTGGAGCAATTCTATACTAATTTTGTAGGATATATACAGTGTAGCCCAGATCCTCAAAGCTATTTAGGTCCCTAACTCCCATTGATTTCAACAGCAGTAAGGAGCCTGGAGTTATTTGAAGATCTGTGCCTAAGAGTGCAGTGTTTCTGTAGTATCTACCGAGTAACTCATTACTAATTTTGTAAGTGTAGGGTCTGTAATGTTGTTTTCTATGTGTAAACTCAGGTTCTGGTCTCATTTACTTTGGTGTAACTCTTCAGTATTTGCTGAGTAACTCTAGATGGAGATAGATGGAGTAACTCCATAGTATCTGTGGAGTAGCGCTGTAGCAGTTACAGCATATCTGAAGAGCAACTCTCTTGTCCTTTCCTAATTGCAATGAAATAATTGTGTAGTATTTACAGAGTAACTCTATAGTATCCATGGAGATGACCTGTATGATTTATGGCATACCTCTGGTGTCATTCCAGAGCTAAACCAGCTCTGAGATGATTATTTATTGGCACGTTTCAGTTAATAGTAACAAGGTTTATGTTACTTTGACCACTCATGACAACACACAGCAGGAAATGTGGCATAGAGGGCATGTGTCAAGGACTAAGTATGTTTTTTCTGGAGTTTCTACCACCTGTAGACTCCCCAGAACGTCCGTGCCCTTGAATACCATGTTTCGCTCTTAGTGCATGTGTTGGGATCTTTCTATTTGCTCCACCCGTTCAGCTAGAGTCAGCAGAAGTAGGAAAACATTTGTCTAAATGTGGCTCTTCTTGCTTAGGACCAAACAGAGTTTTGCTGGCAGTTTCATGGGGTACAAACAAATTCCGGCTTAGCTCGAATAAATTCAGTATGGCCAACTCAGCTTCTGTAGCCAGCATGGATTCTGTATTGCAGGAATATGAGCAGTTTGATTTCATGACAAAATGCTTCCATGGGATTTATCAGCCAAAGATCTCAAAGCACTTCATGGATACTGATGTACTGAGCATTTAAAACCCTCCAGGAGGTAAGGAAGTGTCATTAGCTCCTTTATAAATGGGGAAACTGAGGCAAAGAGAGGGGATAGAGCTGTCAAAACATCACACAGAGGGTCTGTGACAAAGCTAGGATTAGAATCCTGGAGTCCAGGCTTCCAGCCCCATCATGCTTGAACTACTAGACCCCACTCCCCTCCCAGAACCAGCGACAGAACCCAGGAGTCCTGGCTCATGGCCTCCACGCTAACAGCTATAGCACTCTCCCTATTGGCTATTTTAATTTCAATTATGAGGTACATAAATACGTTGTATTATTGTACAATTTATAATTGTATTATTATTACTAAGAGCTGGGAGCTGATTTTTTTTCAGATGGGCTCCAAAATATCCCCTAGATCAGTGATTCTCAAACTTTTGTACTGGTGACCCCTCTCACACAGCAAGCCTCTGAGTGTGACCATCCCTAATAAATTAAACACACTTTATAATATATTTAACACCATTGTAAATGCTGGAGGCAAAGCAGGATTTTGGGTGGAGGATGACAGCTCGCGACCCCCCCCACATAATAACCTCACAACCCCCTGAGGGGTCCTGAGCCCCAGTTTGAGAACCCCTGCCCTAGATCTTCTAAACGCTCCTAGTCCTCAAGTTTGGCCCCTGAGTCTGGCATAAGTCAAGCATTTCAAACCAAGAAAGGGGCTGGTTTTGTTCGACCAGAAGGAAAAAGGGAAAGGGTGGTTGGCAGCGCCTCAGGCCGCCACTAGAGGGCAATAAACTACTGAGAAAAAACCTCGGCTGCTTCCACCCAGAGCGGCTAGTGACCGGTGCGTTTTCCAATCGGTCCTGAAACCGGCCTGGCCTCGGGGCTGGGAAACACGGATCGGGACATTCCCCAGCAAGAGAGGGCGTCTTTCTGTCTGTCTTTCCAATTTCCAGCCCAAAGGAAGGAAGAGACGCAGCTCCATAATGATTTCTTTCAAACTCGCATCCATCTTTTTCCTTTGTGGAATTCTCTCTGAGTGACCCGGTTGGTGAGGTGATAAGTTTTCTTGGACCAACATCTGTTGCATAGAGAGACACATAGGTTGGGCCAATAAAAGATATCACCTCACCCACCTTGTCTCCCTAATATCCTGGGGCCAACACTGGAACAACAACACTACAATCTGTCTATCTATCTGCCCATACATCCCATACATATCCCTCTATCTCACTATCTGTCCCATATCTACTTATTTAACTATCGATATTGCACATATCCCTCCTTCTTTCTCTCTCTCTCTCTCTCTCTCTCTCTCATGTACTTTATAGATCCATCTGTCTATCCAGTCATCCTTCCTAGGTGGAATTAGTTCAGTCGCTCTCTCTCTGTCCCTCTGTCTCTCTCTCTGTATCCATCCATCTATCCATCCATCTATTGCTCTATGTGGTGTTATCTGTCTCTCTCACCTATCTGTACTTATTTATCTATCCAGTTCACACATATCTCTCCCTCTTTCATATGTACTTTATCTACCTGTCTATCATCTTACTCTTATATTGTAGTATCTGAAGGAATACTTACCTTGGAAAGTTCCTGGTGCTAATACAATTAATTGAAATCCCATATCACTTTTTATTAATTTTGATCCTATTCCTGTTGGTTTCGTTTAGAACTTTCTTTTGATGCATAGAGTTGTATAATAATTTTAAAATGTTTGTACTCAGCTTCAAATCATAAAAAAAAATTGTTACATATATTTTAAGTGACCTCAGCAATAAAAATATACAGCTCTTTTAAATAAATATGCATTAATAATAACCATATGTATAAAGTAACCTAATTAATATCAATATATTTGATAATATGTATTCATAATCATGACTATAAAAATCTAAATAATAATGTTAATCTTTTGCAATCATGTTTCGATTACAATAATATTTATAAATCATTCAAATACTGTTCCAATTCCTTATAAATATTTATTAATAGCAAATGCATTGTTTACAGCTCAACCTACTGTTATTTCAAACTGTTTATATACATTTATTTAAAGCAATCAATGTGTTTATAAAGCAGTCTGACAACACTTCAATCAGTTTCCAAGTGTTTATTAGAAGCAATCATATTATCAGTCAAAGAGCATTTCATTCAGTTCACACACACCCATTAAGAGCAATCAGGGTGTTTAAGACAATCTATTCTCATTTTTTCCTCTTCTACACATTAATTAAGAGCAAACATAATGTTGAAAAGAAATCTAATGATGCAGATCTTTATAAGCATTTATTATTGATAAGAAGAGGAATAATTAAATGCAAATCTTTAGTATTCTTCTTCTTCTTCTTCTCCCTAGCCCCAACTATATGTGGCTGGCTCTTTTCAGCTTGGAAAAGAGACGACTAAAGGGGATATGATAGAGGTCTAGACAATCATGACGGGTGTGGAGAAAATAAATAAGGAAGTATTATTTACTCCTCTGTACAGAATGTGTGAGAAAAACGAGTTCTCACTCTGAGGTTGGTTGCAACATCCCAGAGGCAGCTTTATTTTCTTTAACACTTCCAAGGGGAAAGTACTCACGGGCAGGTGTTCCCCTCCTGAGGCAGGTCTCCATTAGATAAATAATTAAGGCAAGTATTTATACCTTTTGTGACATACAGTAATGATCAACAACTGCATTTTGTTTATACATATTCCTTCCTGATATTTTACTTTTTTCAGCAGTTCTTGCTATAGTCTGCGTTCCATTTTTATCTAACACAAGGTCAAAACAACCTCTCTTACAGTTCTTTTCCACTAACCCAGGCCCTGCATTAAAGTCTCGCATTATTAAATAGAAGAGTTAGCCTGACTCTTGCTCTTCCTGGAAGACTAAGATGTGTGCGCTTTTCCCAACTTCCACAAGAAGAACTAAGAGTCACCAAATTAAATTAATAGGCAGCAGGTTTAAAACAAACAAAAGGAAGTATTTCTTCAACAACACACAGTTAACCTGTGGAACTCCTTGCCAGAGGATGTTGGAAAGACCAAGACTATAACAGGGTTCAAAAAAGAACTAAATTCATGGAGGATAGGTCCATCAATGGCTATTAGCCAGGATGGGCAGGGAGGTGTCCCTAGCCTCTGATGGCCAGAAGCTGGGAATGGGCGACAGGGGGTGGATCACTTGATGATTACCTATTCTGTTCATTCCCTCTGGGGCACCTGGCACTGGCCACTGTCGGAAGACAGGATACTAGGCTAGATGAATCTTTGGTCTGACCCAGTATGGCCATTCTTATGTTCTTATGTTCTAATAACCTGTGTGTTCTGTTATAAACACATATTGGTAATGCTAGTATATTTACAACCCAATCTAATGCGCCTTCGTCTGTTTATACACATTCATTAACAGTATTCTCACTTTTATAGCTCATTAGAAATAAACCTGGATCTCTTCATAAATATAAATCAAGAATTAGGTTGGCATAGCAATCTCATTGAATTTAGATCTCTATGTCAATAAACATGAATTACATGAATTAATAGGTGCAGAGATATCTTAATAACAGCATTTTATTAAATAAATAAATGAATTAAAACAAATTTAAACTAGTACAATTTAGATCTCATTATTACTGCTTAGATTTCTACATAAATGCATATTTCTCCTTATTATTTGATCTTTACAAACTATAACATCAGATGACAAAGAATATAGACATTAGTACTTGTGCAATTAATAATAATAAATAATGATTTCTTTTGTGAGAGCAAAAAGGACTCAATTGTTATTATTTCAAAGCTATCTCTGTCTAATTTTCATTCAAGCCAGTTGGGATTATATTAGAAAAGAGA